AAAAACTGAATAAATAAAATCTTTAAAAAAAAAAAAAAAAAAAAAACTGGATAGCATTAAAGGTATAGATGGGCTAAAATGAGGATATACCTAGGACAAACAAATATGTACTAATAGCTGTATAAATAGTAATCAAGGGTATCAATTCAACGGCTTATTACTTTATGCAAGGTGGCATTACAAAGGACTTCTTGGGCATTTTTTCTTTGTAGGTTTAATTTATTGCCTATGGCACAGAAATCACCATTAACCATCCTATACAGAAATGAGCTGGTTTTGGTTAACATCAGATTTAAGTAAATCTCTTATATTTAATCTTGTATCTTATATAGTTAAAGCCATTAATATATGAAAGATAATTATTTTCAGTTCTGGAGAAGTTTGAATGTGTGACAGTGTACAAACTGTGTGACTGAAGCAAAAGACTACTAAATATGCGAAATACTGCATCCAGCAGAAAAAGATTTTGTAGAAATTTGGATACACATGTAGAGGAGAGTGATTATGGTATGCTCTTATTGGACTAAATTTAGAGCATATTGGAATTAGGGCTGTCAATATAATTTTTAAATTATTGACCTCTAATATAGTTACTATAATTGAAAAACATTATTTAATTGTCTCCTGTCTTCTCTTTCCTCCATCTCCATCCTTCTCTTTTCTCTTTTGTTACAGATCATACATCAGTTGGCGGGCTGGGAGACAGTTTTTATGAATACTTACTGAAAGCATGGTTGATGTCAGATAAAACAGACCGTGAGGCAAGAAAAATGTATGATGATGCTATTGAGGTAATTATTGTCGGAACATATTACTTAACATATTTAATATACATATTTGACAGTGACTAATGAACATCTTATACACATTATATGCATTCACTATGGAGTTTGTTAGTATTTTAATATAAAAGTCTTATATTAAGTTTTCCTTTATTGTGGTATGTTAAAGAAATTGTTGAGGAAAGAATTTAGTGTATTGTGTTTATGTATGAAAATTTTTTTTAATTACTTTTAGTTATTGTCTAGAGACTGGAAAAACTTCTGATTCACATACATTTCTGTAAACATTTCTTCTTTCTAATGACCCAGCGTACCTACGCGTTGAGAGCCTTATGGGTAAATAATAAGGGCGAAACACTTAGATAGTACTTTTCACGTGCCAGGCACTGTTCTAACCCCTTTTACATATGTGAAATCATTTAATCTATACTACCATTTTACACATCAGGACCTTAAGGCACAGAGATGTTACTGTGCAACCTCTAAGTTACTTACTGAAGGCCACATATCCAGTAAGTGATGGAGCCTGGAACTGAGCAGTCCAGTTGCAGAGCCTGTGCTCTTAACTACTGTACTATACTGTTTCATATTTATGTAATCTCATACCATGATGCTCTGACAGTTTAAAATTGGAACATGTTTCATTCTTGGAAACACTTAATATGCGATATTTCCAAGCAAAAACTGTGAAATAGAGTTCTAAAAGAAAAATTTCTCTTTCAAAGAAAAAATTCTTTGTGAAGTCTTACATTTTGAAAAGTTGGAGAGTTTTGTTCTCTGTTATTAAAATTTAAACCTAGAAATGTTTATAATGTAAGAAAAGTCATTATCTAGGAAGAATGTAATATTCTTAGAATCATGGTGTTGAAAATAGCCCTTAGTCATTCTCACTGACTGTGGGTTCCTTGAAGGCAGACTAATTTGTTTATCATTGTCTCAGAATCTAGCACAATACCTGAAACAGTAGGTTTGCAGTAAGTGTTTGAATGAATGAATGTATTTAATATTTTTGCTTTTGAGAAAGTGTGACATGTCATATACCATGTAAGCATTTTTTCTTCATATTTGCTGCTTTCTTGTAATATTTTTAATCTAAAACCATTTTTTCTTTTGCTTTGCTTAATTCTTTCTAAAGTAAGAAGAATGTTATTTTATATTTGTCATTACTTTTTTAATCGTGTATACTTTGAAAGGCATGATCCCTGTTTTGAAAGTTAATCTCATAAATTAAAATTATTTCCATGAATCATTGGATATATGTTGTGTGTCCTAAAAATCTCTCCATTCTAATTTTCTGTGTCCTCTTTTTATTAGTTCTTAAGTCTAAAATGGACACCTGCTAAGTGTTTTTAAATAGCCAGTTGGCCAACTTTAATTTTGAGACATGTATGCAGTTTTTGCAATGTTAATTATCTTTGATAAGTATTAATTCTCTTAGGAGACAGACTATATACAAATTGTAAAATAAATGACATGGAATGCATGGAAGAGATAGAAATGATTCCTTAAGATCCATTCTAACTTGAGGTAAATAATTTTTAAAGTTTTCCTTTCTGAGCTTATCTATTTAAAATTCTTCCTTCCTCATCTCACCCTCGTCTGCACTTACGGATGCCTGTATCTCTGGTTCCTACGTCTTAGCTATCTTTTTAAAAATTATGTGCAGTTATAAGTTTCGTATTCTGGTCAAGTTTATCTTTAGTCTTTAATTTTTAAAATAGTGAAGAAAAAAATATATCTTTTAAAGGTCCTTTTGGAGCAAGAAAGTCATACCAATATTTGTGAAGACTTGTTTAACACTTTGTTTAATAGAAGAGCAATAATATTACTCTTAACTGCCATTCTACAGTTTGGCATTTTATGTAAGTTGAACTCTTAGACATTTGTCATATTTTTAGAGAAGAGAGCTGGACAAGAAATTTCAGGGGTCTGTAAGTGAATTACTGATAAAAAGCCCTGTCTTTATCCACCTTTTACTTTAATCCTAGTAGGTCCGTGGGGATATGTTTGGATATCTTTTAATTATAACATAGCAAGATTTATGTTATAATAAACAAAAATAACAAAATGACAAAACTGTTACACAAAGATTTAGAATCCAAACTAAAGGTATCATTCTTTAGGCATTTGTTGAGTGACTTACATGTGGAAAACATGCTAGATGCCACAAGGTCCGCTAAGATGAAAAACGTTGTCTCTGTACTCAGAAAACTAATCTTTTCATTTGTGCTTCAGAGTAATACGGTTAAAAGACAACAACAACAATAAAACTTATAATCCAATGGTGGTGTCTTATCATTTTGCTTATCAACCACACCTCATTCCCTAACAGGCCAAATACAGTTATCTCGGAGTACCATTTATTTATAAAATGACTTATTAATTACACATTTATTGAATGCATACTACACTTATAGGTCTTGTGGAGTATAAAGTGATGAAGAAGGCATAGTCCTTACAGTTCTGTAAAACAAACATTATTATTATAAAGAATATAGAATAAATTTTTCCAAAACTGATTGTTATTGAGCTTGTCAGAGAACAACCCACAATAAAAATGTGAGTTAATTCTTATTCCTTTTTGTTTTCAGAAAAGTGTCGTCTCTAGTCATATATAATAATTCTACCAGAGAGAACTGAATTACTGCAATTTCTTATACTTTTCCATAGAAGTACCTAAAGAGAATTCATCCATAGCCCCTCTCAGCAAAGTCTGAGAACATAGTCCAAAAGAACAAAGCTCTTAAAAATCTCAATCTTAAAATTAAGTGTGATTATTGAACTCTACTTCATGTTATGTTCAAGTTTAATATAAAATATTTCTCTCACCATCCTCACATCTTTTGAGTAAAATTGACATTCCAGGAGGAGGGGCTATGTTTGTCACGTGGCCTCTCTTAACCATTGCACAGTATCTAAAACAAATGCCTGAGTTTGCAAAGTAAGGGACTAAGGTGTTAAGTTTGAACTTTCAACTAGTTTGGTAAGCTTTATAACATATAAGGTGTCACGCCTAATGGTGCCTTTTTTTTTTTTTTTTGAGGAAGATTGGCCCTGCGCTAACATCTATTGCCAATCTTCCTCTTTTTTCTCCCCAAAGCCCCAATACATAGTTGTATGTCATAGTTGTAGAGTTGTAGCTCTTCTATGTGGGACGCCTCCTCAGCTTGGCTTGATGAGTGGTGAGTAGATCCACGCCCAGGATCTGAACTGGTGAACCCCAGGTCACCAAAGTGGAACATGCAAACTTAACGGCTACACCACTGGGCTGGCCCCTAATGGTGCCTTTTTAAAGTACTTTGACAAGAGGTATAGTTACATGGAAAAGGAGAAACTATTTTAACTAATTATCAAAATCATATTTTTCTGGTTAACTTAGGTATTCTTCCTATTCAGTTTTTGTTGTATGACATAGAAAATAAATCAGTGGAGCCTTTTGGGTTATAACTTGTCATCGTGATCTCAGTTGACTGATTATTATGAATTTCATTTACCTCAACAAGAAAAAACCTGTAATATGGGTAGTGTTATATTGAAAGATAATCTTTAGACTAGTCTCCCCTCTCCCACCTTGTCTTGTTATAGTAGTGATTGGGGTATTTGTTCAAGATTGTATGCAACTTGATTACTCACTCCAAAACTTATTTATTGTAAATTAAGTCTTCCAGGTTGGGAAAGTTACTACTTTGTAGAATATCATATTACTAAGGTTTTATGATAGCCATAAGGATGTAGTAAATTTGAACACTAATACTTTGGTTCTAAAATTTTGAATATCTTGTTTTTCTTGTAGGCTATAGAAAAACATCTTATTAAGAAGTCCCGTGGAGGTCTTACCTTTATTGGAGAATGGAAGAATGGGCACTTGGAAAAGAAGATGGGGCATTTGACCTGCTTTGCTGGGGGAATGTTTGCACTAGGAGCAGATGGTTCCAGAATGGATAAAGCTGGTCATTATTTAGAGCTGGGGGCGGAGATTGCACGTACATGTCATGAGTCATATGACAGAACTGGTAAGAATATTAATCATGCTAATTACTTAGTCTTAAATAACCTCTAAGTTAAAAATATGTCCAGGAATTAGAAGGAAAATAGACATTTTTCACTTTAAAATAGAATAACACAGTAAATCATTTTCTTAAGAATTTGAATTTCAATTCTGGAAATGTATTCCTGCATCATTTTTTAAATTATTATTCTGAATTCTGCTGCTGTTTTAGTTAATAAAGATTTTGAAGAAGTTGTTTTAAAGAAAAGAGGTAGGGCATTTGGAGATGTATGGGATAACATTATTTTAATGTAATAAGAATCCATGTTAGCCATTCATTTCAGCTTCTATAAAACCAGTTACTTAAAAGAACACAAAATTGGCTGATTTAGGTTACATACCTTGCCTATCCTCTTGTGAAAATAAGAACAACCAAAAGATAATAGTAGTTATATTGAATGTATAATTGGTATCTAGGGAACTAGTAGTTTGTCTCTTAGTCAGTTCACCAGTAATTTTTGAGTTGTTTCTGCCTTTAACTAAAGAGATCCTCTGACATTGCTTTAGGCAAATATGTAATATGTCTGGGCTTCAGTGTCCTTACTTGGGAAATGAGATGATTCTCAACGGTGACAAAAATTGGTTCTTGGGGGTAAAAAAATCTTTTTTATTTACAAAGCATAGCTATACATACAATCATAGGTAGGTAAACAATATATATTTATTATTAAAATTTCATGGAGGGGCTGGCCTGGTGATGTAGTGGTTAAGTTTGCATGCTCCACTTCAGCGGCCTGGGGTTTGTAGGTTCAGATCCCGGACACGGACCTACTCACCACTCATCAAACTGTACTGTGGTGGCATCCCACATACATAGTAGAGGAAGATGGGCACAGATGTTAGCTCAGGGACAATCTTCCTTGAGCAAAAAAAAAGGAAGATTGGCAACAGATGTTAGCTCAGGGCCAATCATCCTCTCCCCCCCCAAAAAAAAAAAAAATTCATGGAGAGAGAAGGCAATTAGGTTTTAACAAAAAGCCTGTAAATAGAGTTGAGAAACACTGGACTAGACCTTCCGAGGTTTTCTCTGGCTTTAAAAATGTATGTTTCTATGTGAAATAATGGATAATGAGTTCCTTGAAAGACTAAAAACTAGTAATTTCTATTTGTGATTTTAGAAGTTGAATTGTTGCTTTTATTAAACAACTGAATTTCTGTTTTAGGGTTAATTTATCATTAGGTATCATGACATAAATACGATTGACTTAAAATTTATTCTAGTTTATAAATCTGTAAAGTTATTTTAATATAATAATGAGTTGAACTTATGGTGAAATTGACCCTTGAATTCCCTCGGTAACTAAATCAAGGATTCCATTTCTTGACAAAATATAACTAGGTCAAAAGGACATTGAAACATGTTATTTTAGGGTGGTTTAAGTGTTGCTATTTGTGTGCGTGTGTATGTATATAATACCTATAAAGTCAGTGATCTAAGTTATAAATAGATGCTAAATTATATTATGTTGATGATATAGAGTATCAAATATATACTTAAAATATAGCTAAAATCAGTAAGACATTGAGGACCAGAATGCATATTCAGTGTTTGTACTAGGACCCATGATAAGACTTGTTGTTATGCAGATTTTGACCACAAATCAAATACTAGATCTAAAATAGTAGGATTTCATATAGCAGACATATTAAAAATATGATATACCATAATTATTATATTACTCATTCACTCCATTAAACATAGAGTACCTGTTATGTGCCAAGCATTATGCTGGATGCTTACAGGTTAAAGTGTGAACAAGATGTATCGCCTGCCTTTGAGAAGTTTATAGAATACCAGAGTTATGAAAGGATTTCCTATATTATATTTCTGACTTTCACATTTCATAATGACCTTGCTGATGCTTATATGAAACTGTGATATTAGGGAAAAAAACATTTGAACTAGGATTCAAAAATCCCATGTTCTTACTATTTGTTATCTGTGAGCCTTAGACAAATCATTTAACCTTCCTACACCTCAAATGCTCTATCTACAAAAAATTGGGATAACAATACCTACCCTGTCTTCCTCAGAATATTGTTGTGAGTGTAAATGAAATTTTTAAAAATGCAGTCCTGGTTGTTGCTGTCATGCTTGTTCTGATTGTCATTCTCAAGTTACAAGTCAATGAACCTGTGACCCTCTTTGCCCTGGTATGCCCAAAAAGATTACTATTTGATTTGTGTCCTATATTTTAAATAGTCTTCCACTGTGTTTACTTATGTCTAATCTCAGCTTAGATGCTTTAATTAAAAAGTACAATCCTAGTTTTGCTTACTTCCCCACCAGGTTATTACATCCTCTGCTGTGGTTTCTTATAGCTGTTCTATAATTTTTGGCTACCTCATTTAAAAATATCCATCCACTTCTTAGCAGTTATTCCAGCTAAATTCATACAATAATTACTGCCTTGAAATTTCACTTTCATTTATTGTTGGAGTTAGAGGTACTCTTCATATATTTCACCTTATTGCTGAGCATTGCCTGCTGCGTAATATTTGGCTGAGTTTGTAGGAAAAATTGCTGACTCTGTTCATGAAACAGAGCAGTAACTTAGTGGTAGTTTCAAACATTATTATATCTATAAGGGAAGCTAGATTGATACATTGTTTTAGTTTATTCTGAGGTGTAATGCAGAATTGGTGCCAAACCAGATCTTCGATTTCCAAAATATAGTACTTTCTTTTTTTGGGTTTCCAGATTAAAAAAAAAAAATTATTGGGCCGGCCCCGTGGCTTAGCGGTTAAGTGCGCGTGCTCCGCTACTGGTGGCCCAGGTTCGGATCCCGGGCGCGCACCGACGCAGCGCTTCTCTGGCCATGCTGAGGCCGCATCCCACATACAGCAACTAGAAGGATGTGCAGCTATGACATACAACTATCTACTGGGGCTTTGGGGGAAAAATAAATAAATAAAATTAAAAAAAAAATTACTGAACATTCATTAAAATAATGACTATTATGTAATCTATTTTACTTCCTGTTGAAATTGGGTAAAGCTTTCCTTAGACTAAGTGCTGTCACATTTGGGGGTAAAATTTAATCTTTTAAATACAGGTAGCATATCCATTGGACAAAAAAAAAAATCCGTTGAACATGGAGTATTGGACAGATTTTAAGTGTTTCTACAACTATTTTTTCCTTAAAGGAAGTTAACAGGAGGGAGAGGCACAGGAAAATAATTTAACTTCTTCCCTTACTATTAGCCCATACAAACTATAGTTAAATTGCCTGTCCCAGAATATTTCTTGTGCTTTTTATCTTCTGTTGAATTTCTTTTGCTGACTTGAGTGTACTTATTTTTTCATCTCTACAGATTCTACCTGTCTTGGAAGACTCATATTAATTGCATTTCCCCGTGACTTTACAAACTAACCTGCGCCGCCTTAAACTTAGCTTTTATTGTCTTACTACTGACCTTTATCACATGTGATATTTTACTGTAATTTTTTTTATTTGTGCATGTTTCTTTCCTTTACCTACCTTATATGATTTTTGCATCCTCTAGAGTTTTTTTACCTAGGCACTAAATTATTTATGGTTTCGATTCAATTTTTTCTTGTTGGATTAGTTATTTTCCTTTTAGAAATGAAATATCAAATGTAAATGGGAAATTTAAGGTAGGGAATAGAAATTAAGTGCAAGGTAGAATGTATGGAAACTATTTTTTACAACATTTCTTAAACAAAAGACCACCTAAGAAATAATGCCCTCAGAAACATGAAACCAATAATTTGGCCAAAATAGTGGATGTGATATGTATATAATTTAGACTTGTACATTTTTACTCACCAGCTTCTCACAGGACAAATATGTTCTTTCTGGTATGTCTATTTTATGAGGTTATGAATGACTAGTAAGTGAAATATAATTTTTAGTGAGAAGTTTAAAATATTAGTTTTATGCAGCCAATTTCCTCTTCAATTCAGGCGATATTATTATTATAATTACAGAAGTTATTATCTAATTTAAAGTTAGCCTTTAGATTAACATTTGAAAATTCCATGTGATCGCTCATAGTCTTTGAGAAAGGAAAAATCTAAGAAATCCAGACAAAATGACTTACCTTACTTTTTTGTTGGATTCCTGTCATCTCAGTGTTATGATACTTGACTTTTATCGTCATTTTGAAAGCATTTATTAAATGCCAAATAATATTTGATTGTATACCAGACCTTGTTAATAAGCTGGATAAAAGTTTTCTTACAAAATCGTGATAATTTGTTGGTTATGCCTAACCTCAGATCCCATTGAGCAGCTGGTCAAAGTTTTATATGCACACATAAAGTTTTGCATACAGTCTCAGAGGCTTCTTGGAGACAACACTGTCTCCCTCTTCCAAAGCCTACCGTAGAGTTCATGACCCTCAGGTTAAAAACTCCTGCTTGAGTTCTGCTTTAGTTCAATAAGACGTAGCAGTGAACAAACTGTGGTTATTAACTCTTCTGGGTCACATGTTTCGCTTTTAATAGAATTATCCTACCATCACTACTTTGTTTTTGGTTTTGTATTTTTTCTTGGGAGTGAGGGGTGGTAAAAAGGCTTTGTTTTCATTTCCTTTGAATTGTGATTATTTGGAGCTTACACTGTCACCCTTGTAATACTGAAATTTGGCCACAGCAACACGTCATGCCAACAACTATGGCATGATTTTATTTCTGGTCCACCAGCATTATAGTTCTGTGCTACCTTTTCTTTTTTGAGAAAATATAAAAGTGTCTAGCATTTCTTGAAAGAAATGAGAGACCTTGAAACTATTTGCCACTAGTACAACCTAGTAAAAAGAAAGATGGCAGCTGAGTGTGGTAATTGTGTTTGACTCCAACATCCCAGTGGAAGATGACTTTATATTGCTCAGGTTTAGGGTGCTAGGTGTGTTTAGAAAGAGGTCCTTTTTAAAAAAGACTTTCATGAAGTGCTATATTCCAGCCTGAATGGAAATCATATCATTCAAGGAATAATACGTAATGTTGAAATATATGTATAATGACCATGTTTTATTCAAACTGATAAGTGGGCGAGTTGCTGATGAAATTCTTGGTGATTGGTAATTTGAACCTCTTCTTTGCTACTGTAAGAGAAGAGACTGTGAGAGAAGGCTGTAAGAGAAGAGAGTTTATTTTTAAAACTTGTTTAAGTTTTAAAATATATTGTTTCTTATATACTATAGTATGCTTTAAAAGAAAAGTATATAATCTGCAACTAGATCTAATTCGCGATCTGAGCTCTAAAATGTTTTCTTATGTGTGTATGTTATATTAAAAGAACTTTGAAATTATCTTTGATTTTTAAAAAATAATTCTGCACAGTACATTATCCGTCTCATTTTATTTTGGACCAAAATGGAATATGTAATGTGCTTATGTCTAGCTTTGCATTTGTTTTCAAAGGATTACTAGACTCTTGTTGGTATGGTTAGATTTAGCGATATGTTGATGTACGTTATTTATGAGAAATATTTCATGTCAGAATAATAGGAATATTTGTATCTGTTAAGCTGCTAGAAAACCAAATGTGGATCTTTGAAAGTCACTGATTTTGCAAAACAGCAACAATAAAAATAAAACAAACAACAGAAGTAACTTTACTTCGTATTCCCTTCTTTCAGAGAAGAGAAAAGCTCTGGCAAACACAAATGGTTTACTGTACTCATTTGTTTCTTTTGTCATGTTACAGCATTAAAGCTAGGTCCTGAATCATTCAAGTTTGATGGTGCAGTAGAGGCTGTGGCAGTGCGGCAGGCTGAAAAGTATTACATCCTCCGTCCAGAAGTAATTGAAACCTATTGGTACCTATGGCGATTCACTCATGACCCAAGATACAGGCAGTGGGGCTGGGAAGCAGCACTGGTAAATAAGCCAATATTTCATTTTATGTGCAAAAGTGTTAAATCAAGCCCTCCTATAGTGCTATGTGTCCTCATCCATGTTACCTCGTGTTCAGTAACTATAGGGCTACTTGCATTTGTCTGATGGAAAAACTCTGTTACTCCATCAATTTAAGGTTCTTAAGCAGTAGAAGTAAATCTTAGAATCCCGTTTGGTTCTCTATTAGAACTATTTTCCTACTAGTATTCATTCATTATTCTTATTGAATAACTATAAAGAGTCATTTAAAAGGCAATTTTTCACTATGATTATAAAATTTCTGAACTTGCCTATTAATTCTTAACCTCTGAAAAAAAAAATCATTGTAAAACTGTCCAGATTGACAGCCTCTGGATTACCCCAGTGGATCACCATAAGAAGGATCAGTGAATTGCTAAAATCTTTCTAGATTGAAAGAATATATGTATACACACACACGTACATACACATACACATACTATATATAATATATATATTTGAAATGAGGAATTTTTAATGGTTAGTAAGTAAAAGAAGCAAGTGGTTTACTCTTAAAATACTAGCCTTGGCTGTCAGTACCTGGGGCAGAAGAAAATCATTAGTCTTTTCATGAAATTATAGCTTATTCCCAGGAGTAAGAGGGTGTTTTTATTCTCTAAGATATACTAATTATGATAAATAATACTAATTGTGATGGATATTCATATTCAAATTGTTACCTTAAGCTTGCAGTCTAGATAGAATTAGGACATTCTAGGTGAGATAAGTAGTGTTAGTAAATTGCTCAGACAAGAATGTACAAGATATGTTTTAGGGCAGAATGTAGACCAATTTATGTAAAAAGAAGGTTTCACAGTGGCAACCAGAGGGAGAGAAGTTTGAAGCCATTATGTAGATGACCTTACATGCCAGATCAAGGGATGTATACTTTACTCAGCGGTTCAGGAATAACACACATACACAGACACACAAACACACACTTCTCTCAGTTACTACATAAGTATTTGTCATATGGGAGGTGGGGATAGAAAGTCCTTTGCCTATCTAAAAAAGCCCGTCAGGTCTTCTTTTTCCTCACCATCTCCTACCCACCAAAGCTCCCTAACTTTAAAAATCCATTACAGGACTACTAAACGTTTTTCAAAGGGGAAGAAACTACTGCAGGCTTTTTAGTGAGGAGTAACAAAACAAAAGGATCTGATTGTAATCTGCAAATTGGTGGGTTTTGGGGACCACTGCAATAATCCAGGCTAATATGATAAAGACTTGAACTAAGGTGAGGACACTTATGTGTCATTTGTCATTCAGACCCAGGTAGTCCTTATGGAGTTCAACAGTAAGAGAATATTAATGGAAGCAAGGTGGTTACATAGAACAGGAACAGATGCAGCATTTATTGACCCCGCCTGTCCCTGTCCACTTGGCTCCAGAATTGGGAACACAGCTGCTGGTGAAACTCTGCATGCAGGAGGGTCCTACTGCAGTTGAGAAGATAGCCAGACTGTTGCCACGGTGATTCAGGAATAGGACACACACACTTCTGTTGGTAGCAATGGCTTCCTAACACTTATGTAAATCAAGCAATATTTTATATAGGGGAAATAGATAAGTAAAGAATTCCTGCAGTGAATGACTTGAATGTCCCATCATATTTAATGGTTCTTATTTAGAGGAATAAGGGAGCTATATTTGAATCATATGGGGCAAGGGGATAAGGAGTGGTGGCAGAAACACATTCTCTCATTGAGAAACACTATAGGATAATTTATCCTTTCCCTAAGGTCCTTTTTCCCTGTGCACCTTCTTAAAGTATGGCCCTACTCTTATCTATTAAAAGAGGTTTGACAAGCTCAAACTTTAACCCATATCTGTCCAAATTTGAATGGCAAGAGTTAGAATCTTGCTTCTATAGCCTAAATGGACACACACAAACTGAAAGTATAAAGAACAAGAACTGAAATAATTATGCTTTAAATTGAAGTTGCAGAAGTATGCCATGATGAGAAAAGCGGGAGTGGAGACAAAATAGGAGGATTCGCATCTTAAATAGAATTTGCTTTTTCCCACCATTGGCCTACCAGGTAGGGTGTGAAGAATGTAAAGGGAAGGCAAGCTAAGATAAAAGAGAAGTATCCCATGTCTTCTGTAGCTTTAGCTATTCCGTTTACATCTTCGAACTTCCAAACTTGAATATATTATGCATGAAAACTTGCCTTCAAGAAATGCCTCTAAATTGCTTACAGATTAGTCGTGCCTCCCTGCTACTTTCTCAGTATCCTTAAACTGCTCTGATAGTTCTATGGTGGTAAAGACACATGATCGTTGTGAAGAACATGGTGTTTCAAAACTCTTGTATTCAAAATACATTTAAAATATTTACACAGAGAAAAGTGCCAAACCCTTTGGTAAGAAGATGTTAAAACCCACCTATAATCAAAATGGAACTATATAAAAATGAATAGTTTGATTAAATAAACATTTTTAGCATTAATTAGCTTTTTGTTAAAAAGGAGGAAGACCAGAAAAGTAAGAAAAGTAGGAACAACAAGCCGCTGCAGTAACGGTTAGTTAAATAGCCATACCTTCATTCACAATGTCTCAGGGTTAGAGTAGAGAAAGAAAAGAACCACATGTGCTTTCAGCTTTTCATGAATGGCTTAATTCTGGAGTGTGATAAACCTGCATAAGCAGGGTATTTGGTTGCTTTGAATTAAAAACGGGGTTTTGAATAGATTCAGTTTAATTCAGTATATTTTATTTAGACATGTTCAAAGATGCAAAAAGATATAAATTAGGAATATTAGCCCCCAATCAGGCAGTAGAGCACAGTAGTTAATAATAATGTGGAGCAAATTACTCTTTGCCTCAGTTTTCCTATATGAAAAGTAGAGCTGTTAAGACAACCTCATAGGGTTGTTGGAAATTTAAATGTTAATGCATGTAAAGGTCTTAGAAGAGCCTTTAGCACATAGTAAATACTTTATAATTGTTAGCTCTTGATATTGTAATTATTATTGTTGTGGATGTGTGGGTGGGCACTTCTGCTAGTTGGTACTACCTATAATGCCTAACTCATAGCGTTATGATAATACAATATCTGGCATATAGTGTGTTTGCAGTAAATATTGCTGTTACTATGGAGAGCTCCTGCATAATACTTTTTAGCATGTTTTGGATTATTGTTTATCCTTGGAAATGATAAAATTGCATTTAAAGATTTTAATTCAAACTGACCTCCCTCTTGATTTGTCAGAATTAATGAGGTTTTATTGTGCCAGACAGGTCTCTAGTTCAGTGCGAATAGCCGAAATTTGACTCCTAAGTTAGGAAAATATAAAATGTCTTAAAAAGATTAAAGAGGTTTGGAGAGGAAGAAATTCCACAGGAAACAGAATACTTCAGTTAATTTTTCCTGTGTGAGACTGTTTCCATTTGATAATAAATCTTATTCTTAAACTGTCAAATTCTCATCTAGATATCTGTGAACTTTTGACTGTGGTTCCTTAACTTGTCCTTCAAAACTTGAAATTCTATAGAATTGATTCTTTTATCTGATTTCTTTCACAGGCTATTGAGAAGTATTGCCGAGTCAGTGGTGGATTTTCTGGGGTGAAAGATGTATATTCCTCTACTCCTACACATGATGATGTACAGCAGAGCTTCTTTCTTGCTGAAACATTAAAGTAAGTAGATGCCTTTAAAAAATTTTGTATTGTAGGCTGGTTTTGCTATATAGTCACTCTATGATGAATTATGTCTGTGATATGTTGTACTAAATTTTATTACAAATACCTTTCTGTGTAATTGGGACTTAAATTTTTAGCTGCATCTCAGGAAACATGACTTAGACTATGAGGTAAAAATCTTGTCAAATAAGAGTTTAGTAGCTTTATTTTGTCCTTAGTTCTTTAGTGTGCAATAGAAACACCTGGAAAACTTCTTAAAACACAGATAACTGGGCCATACCTGCAGTTTCTGATTCAGTATGTCTAGGGTAGAACCTGCGAATTTGTATTTCTGACAAACTCCCAGATGATGCTGATGATGCTGGTCCTGGGACCACACTTGAACTCCCTGCTCTAGCTAATGAAATCTGTTAATAAGTAATCATGGAGTTTTGATGGTACTAGAAGGTAAACGACCATAGCCACCCATCCTCCCGATGAGGTTTCCTGTAAAGATAGATACACGTAAAGGGAACAATGGAAAAGAAAAAAGACAACTTTATTATTTGGGCTTATACTCAAAACCCCAGGCAGAGCTCTGTATAAATTGACCTGGAGGAAGGTGGAGACCTTAAGTATGTCCACTTCCCTAAAGACCTACAAAGTAAATATCTCTTGATACCTTCTCTTAAATTTTATATTTCTGTTTTCTGTCTGTCTGTACCTGAATGCTTCATAAACTGTCATTTCATTTGTTCACTTCATTTGTTCAAAAATGTTTATTTCCAGACATTGTTCAGGTTACTTGGGATATGTCAGTAGACATAAAGCAAAAAAATTCCTATCCTCTTGGAGTTTACATTCTAGTATACTTCTAGCTTACATTTTGGTATATTGTCTCAAACTCTGCTATACTAGTTTGAGACTGTACATGTTTCAAACTGTTTGTTTATCCTAAATGGCAATCTTTTTCCACGTCTTCTTTTATTATCCCTAGTACTCTTATTGTGGCATCTTTTCAGCTTATACATTGTAGTTACTTCTTGTTTTCTTTCTAACATATCAGTAAGTCTTTATGATTCTTGTTACATTCTTTATTTTGCCCCCTCCTTTCCGTATATATATCTACAATTGACCCTAACCCTGACTCTTATTAATGCTGAGATGGTTCAGAACATCTGCTTGGTAGTGAGTTTCTACCTCCAGTCATTGCTTGTTTTGATGTATTCTGTATGATTAGGCTTGAGACTGTGTGAGATAGTTGAAAGAGCCCAGAACAGGAAGATAAAACCATAGGAGCTTTAGTGATACACTTGCTACAACCTGTGTGAATGAACAGGACAAAATAAAATTTCTTGGCTTTCAGTTTTCATGTCTGTATACTGTGGAATTTGACCCAAATTATGTAAGATCTGTTATTTTTTTAAGACGAGAAAAATTGTAAGAACAGTACAATGAATATTTGTGTATCCTTCACCTAGCTTTACCCGTATTATTAATTTTTGCCACATTCCCCACCCCCGTATAAATATATGTATGTATACACTCACACACGGTTTTATTTTTTATTTATTTTATTTATTTACCCACTCCATAATTTGAGAGTTACTCACCAACATTCTGGTACTTATGCTAGAGTTTGAAGGAAAAAGGGCATAATCCTACATAATCACAATTCACTTATCACATTTGGGAAACTTAACGTTCATATAATACTGTTGTTTAATGTGCAGTCCATTTTCAAATTTCTCAATTGTTCTAATAAGGTACTTTATTTTTTTTAAGTCCAATCCAGGATCCAATAAAGGATCATTTGTTGCATTTGGTTGTCATGTCTCTTTAGTCTCCTTTACCCTAGAACAAAGTTTCCCTGTTTTTCTTTTGTCTTTTATGATGTTGACATACATATTCAGGCTAATTGCTTTGAAGAGTGTTCTTCAATTTAGATATTTGTAATTGTTTCCTCATGATCGATTTAGGTTCACCATTTTTGGCATGAATATTATATAGATGATGTGTCATCATTACATTCTACAGAAAGGCACATGATAACATTTTAACTCATTATTGCTGATTTGAAGTTTGATCATAGGGTTAGATTTGATTATAAGGTCATGTAAAGAGTCTTTTTTCTTTTTTTAATTAATAAGTGATCTGTGGAGTGATAACTTTGAGATTCTGTGAATATCCTTTTTCCAACCGTCTTTCATCCAGTATTGTTAGCGTTTTGCCTGAATCAAATATTACTATAGTAGTGGTAAAATGCTAATTTTGAGGCCTCTTCTAGTCTTAAAAAGAAATTACTTGATTTTCAACATTCATATACCCTTTTCTTCGTGTCACTCTCCTCATGTTCAAAAGCTACAATGGTTCATTCATCTTTAGCTTCATTTCTCATTTCTTTTACTTATAAATTCAATCCTTAAACCATGCTAATCTATATTCAAATATTCATATTTATATATATATAAATTTGTTCTTTGCATTTCGTTGTTTATTTAATATTTTATTGGCTCTAGTGGCAATGCCTTTACCCTTTCTATCAATTAATGATCCTCTCTTGTTTCTAAATTCTGCTCAGATCTCACCTTTAGCAGATTGACTTTCATCATTAATTCTCAAATGCCTCGTCGTACAGACCTTGAGCACTCTAGCACATGGGATAGGGCTGCAAATACGTGCCATGCTGCCTTTCCCCTTCCAGTATGTGTATAGAATATCACCAGTTGACCTTGGTACTTTTCCCTCCAAGGTGAGGAAGAATTCTTCTCAACACAGTACTCTAGGCAACCAGTTATAATTGTTACACTACTCACTTGCATAAAAATATGTATACATTTACATCAATAAAAGTGGAAAAGGCCAAACAAGAAGAATCATACAAATAATTATAACAAAACGTAGGCTAAGAAAATTATCACAGTTGAGCACTACATTCAGCCCTGAGCTTCCTGGCAGGTGAAGCAAAAAGGAAACACCCTGCTCAGTGTCATTCTCATCTTTTTGAGTTGGGAGAAAATATTACTTAGAAAGGTGATACAAAGTTTTCTTACTGCTAAGTTATAAGATGACTTAATTTGATAGTTCATTATTAAAAAAATTTACTAAACTATTAGGTGAACCACATAAAATTGCCTTCTAAAAGGCAATTTGACTTCTAAAAGTCAAAAACAGTTGAATACTGGCAGTTTCATGTAGTTCAACCTAATACATAACGATATCTTCAAACAGTGATGTTATATAAGATGCAAAAACACTCTTAATGTGACTTCTCTTTATAAAAACTGATGTCATAATATTAAAATGCAATTGAATCGAGTCATTTCTCTGAAGACTAATGTAGTTGTAGGCTTATATTTTTCTTATTAAGAAAGATACTAAAATTCTGTAGAAGAATGAAGATTAGCATGACTCCATAGATTTTTCTCAAATATCAATTAATTCAAATAGGCTTTTGTCAGAAGCTGAGTTTACCTGTTAATTTAAGATTGTATATTCTATCAGTTGGTTGAAATTTATCGTAAATTCCTTAAAGGGCAACAATTCTTGTGTTTTAGCTACCGGAGGTGGCAACTGATTAGCTTGGCAGTGGCAAAGTTGAATGAAAAAGCCTGTGTTCTTGACCTAAGTTGAGGGCCGTTTTACCTTTTACATATTGTCATGGATGCTCTACTATAGATATACTGTAGCTATAGATAGACATTTTTCTCCTGAAGGCAAGGTGCTATGTCCTCTGTTTCTTTTGTGTCCCTCAATAGTCCCAAAATCATTTATTCATTTAGCGTATATACTGATGGCACAACAAAAACTGTGTAATGTGGAAGGTCAGAGATAGATTCCTTCAAAGCCTGTTCCCTTAAACTCTTACACTCTAATAGAGGAAATAAAACACATGCAAATTTGCAAGAAATGTTAAATATATTAAGTGCATAGGAGAAATGTTAATAAAGTGCAAAAGTCTTTTAGAAGAGGAAGAGTTTACTTAATCTGGAAAGCATAAAGGAAGACTTCATGGAAGTGGTGACATTTAAACCAGACTGAAGGCAGCAAGATGGGTATAGTGGGATGAATTGGTATTCAGGGGAGTAGCTATAAGGCAGGCAGTGGAATATTAAGAATGAAATAAGAGACCTCTAAAGGTGAGATTGACAAGCCCTAGTATCTTATTAGATATAGAAAGTGTCAGTAAAAAGAAAGAGTCAGAGTTAGTATTCAAGTTCCCAGTGTGGGTAACTGTAAGGATTATGACACCAAGTTTCAAGAAGAAATAGATTTTCAGAAAAGATAATGAGTTACTTTTGACATATATTCCCAAGAGCATTTACAAATATAGATCTGGAGCTCAAAAGATAAGTTCAGAAAGACTTTGAGGATGAAGAGAAAAGAAGACATGTATCTGATCCTTTGAAGATGCCTACATCTAACAAATGAGAGGGAGTTCCCATTTAGCTTGGCAGAACGAACACCTGAATTTGTCCTCCACTCTCTGGAAAGCCATTAAAGTGACAGTAGAGGGCTAAGAAGGTGTAAAGGACAAGGACAGAAAAAATGAGAAAGAAATTAGCAGCAGACAAGAGACGTCAGCAAAGTTTTAGAAGACAGAAAACAGAAAGCTAAGTACCTGCGTCAGGAGAAGTTAATTTAAAGCAAGCTTATGAATACTTCAGAACCTTGGAAAGACTCGAGACTAGGGTGCAGGGTAAGATTGAAAACTGTGGAATTTTTTTTAAGTTTATATAAGGGGTAGTTAGACCCCAAATCCACCCCTGCCTCTTTCCTACCATGAATGAAACCAGAGATTTCTTGTCTGAAGAGGTTGAATCATGGAGGCTCTGGACTTAGGGATGCCAGGCAGAGCTGAAAGTAGAGAGGAGATTGGAGGATTCCTTTCTGGGAAAATTGATTAGCCTACAAGAAAAAAAAACTATAGATACTGATACATGAGGTTCCCTCAACAAAGTGGCCATGTCCTCACCCATCCCCCCATGGTGAAGCCACCAGTAAATGCCAACATGCCC